AGAATCTGGTGATTTTGTGCTATCATTTTACTTCACTTCTTTCATCTACTTTTCCGACGTTTTTACTGGATTTCCATTCGTTTACTTTGTGTCGGAGCAGTAACAAGACGACAACATAAAATCCCTAGACAACAATCCTAGGACGGTCCTCGGCTGGTGAACAAATAACAATCCCCTAATTCGGTTGCCAAAATGCTTACTATGTAAGTCTTTTCTCCTTCATTCGAGCTAAGCAATTCGACTGAGGTTCTTTCTCAACGTTCTCTGTTCTAATCATTGATATCAGGTTGCGAGGAGCTGGCTCTCGGAGCGATGATGGCTCTGATACTACCGAGGAGATTGTAAGAGACGGATACCCCTATTATTTCAAGAAAAATAATGGCCGCATGGTGATGGCAAGAAAGGTTCCCACAAATCGTGCAAAGAAGAATTTCAGTTTGCTAGGTCAAGCTTTTGGAATTCATGAACCAAAGAGAAAAGCTTCTGTAGAAGCCTTGAAGAAGAAGAAGAAGAAGAGACTGGCGCGTTTTCCTATCCCACGACCCCCTTATTCGACAGCGCACCCACCACAACACTTTCCCGCTTTTGCACCACCACCAATTCCTTATGCGCCAACCATCCCTCAACAGTCTTTTCCGAATCCAAATTTCTTTCCTCAAACAACCCCCGGATTTCCTCCTTTCTACCCTGTTCCTGGATTTCCTGGATTTCCTGCTGCACCTGCACCTGCACCTGCACCTGCACCTGCACCTGTACCTGTACCTGTACCTGCACAACAACCCATGCGATGGGCGTTTCCACCAAAAGCACCAAAGCCACCAAATTTTGAAGAACTTCGAAAAGTTGAATCTGATTTTCTTAAGAGAGCGAAGTCAAAGTCAAAAAGAGACGGAGATAATGATGATCACACAGAGATAAAGACAACTACAACGACCGTTATCACCAAGCATATTTGTGTCAGCTGCCAAAGAGATCGTTCTTCTAAATATCATCTTGATAATCCAATCAAGGCTGGCGAGACTCCCACTCCTGGGTTTTGTCGCAGATGTCGTAGAAGCGCTACCTCTACTAGTGGATCAAGTAGCGATGACAGTGATGACAGTCGTTCAAATATTCATGGATATAGAGGAAGAGGAAGAAGAAGAACAAAGGCGAGAAGCTCGAAGGTCAGTTTGATTCCTCATTAATTTTGGAGGTTCCCTCACTAATATCTTTCAGAAGAATTACAGACGCAAACCCATATCTCGAGTTCGCTCTATTGAATTTCTGAGCCGAGATGATGAGAGAAGAGGCAATGCCCACTCTAACGACCATCGGCATGAAATCATCGTTGAGGAGGAAGTTACACGCGAACACAAACCCGCACCCAAAGACCCAGCTCGAAAAAGTGAGAACAACACAAGACAGTCGGCATCCAGAAGCTACACTCTTACTCGTGAAAGGGATCCCTTTGAGGAAGACTCTACTGCTAGAGAAGAGCCAAAAGTGAGAATTAATATTACAAATCGATCCTTATCAGTCAGTCCACCATCAATCGTCGATGAAATTCGAGAAAAGTCAGTCCACTTTAACCAGCAGACGAGGAAAGCAAACGCTACTTCTCAAGCCGCCTCTCGACAAGATCTCCATAAATCATACAGATACGTTGAGCCACTTCACTCTGCTGCTCCATACGAATCTCTGCCAAGATCTGTTCGTTTCTCAAAAGATTCTCTTCCAAATTTACGTACGAAAGATCATGCTCAGCGCAGACGTTCTGAGCGTGCATACCCTGAGCGTGCTTATGATCATGATATCCATGAGAAAGTACATGAGTATGTTCCTCGTCGTCGCTCCGATGAAGATATTATCGTGGTTGAAACAGAACACGAACACCCTGAATCACGAAATGAGCCAAGACACCTGCCTCGCCATCGCCCGCGCTCCTCTGACGAAGACTTCATTGTGGTCGAGACCGAACATGAACTACCCAGATCTCGAACTGAATTTAGGCATGATCTAAGAAGACCACAAGCGAGACGTCACAGTCCTCCACGTACCCCCATCAGGACTCGAGAAACATATATTACTTCTGAAGTTGATCAGCATGGCAATGAGACGCAGTATAAGTGGACTACTACAAGCCGAACAAGTTCAAGCTTAAGCTCTCTGAGGAGTTTCGTACCAAGTATTCGGCGTGCTTCTTCAGATATGTATCATACTTCAACCATTCGTCGTTCTTCAGATTCTAGCGAAGAGTTTAATAGAGCTTGTAAGTACCAGGTTATCTCTCTTATGACATCTGAAATCAACGTGACTAATTTCATCTAGATGAAATGGCCCATCAGAATTTGCCAAACCCAGGACCTCGTCGTCGTCAACGTAGCTCATTCAAAAATTATGGAAGCTTTATGGATGGCACCCAGACACCTCCCCGAGCACCAGACCCACCAACTCTGAACGGTGATTGGGACCCTAGATATGCGCCCAGAAGTAGAGATCGTTCAACTTCTCAGAGTAATTTACCTAAAGTTCCTCAACATCAGAGCACTCCTCGAAAAAATCAGGCATGGATGAATGCATCGACAATCGATCAGCTTGATCAACGCTTGGAACAGAATCGAAAATCACGTGTTCATTCTCGATCATCTGATTCTCAATCTTCCGGCTCAATGGTCACCCAATCCGATTCTTTCACAACAACCTCAACATCAGCAGGCTTGTATGAACTTAGTGCTTCGGATTCTACACGTTTATCCATAATCCCTCAACCAGTTTCTATTCGTGACACCACAGACAGTGGGAATGAAGTCGAATCGACTCTCGCCGCACCAAGCAGAAAAGCAATTCTCAAAAAGAAGCCGGTTATTGAACCTAGCCATCGTCCTCATGAACGTGCTGAATTTTCAAATTCCAAAGTCGAGGAAAATAGCCATGCTGTCCGTTCCACTTCCCAGAAATACAGGGATCAAATTGGAAGCTATACAGCCTATGTTGAGTACGGCAACGCAGCAGTGGTTCCCAACGAAACAAATCGTCTTAACGCTAACATTCGCACTCGAGACGTTGCAGGCAAAGATGACAATGCTACCATCGTTGATGATGCTACTGATCTCACTCTCCGAACAGCTCGTTCTAAGGCTGCTGTGCTTGATCGTGTCAAGCTTCGACGCCGAGTATCTTTTCAAGAGAAGCCTGAGTACTCGGCTACTCCTAAGCCATCTAGAGAAAGTTCTTGGGCCGAGACTGCCAACTATGATGCGGAGCAATCATATGGTGGCAATACTTATACCAATGATCAATCTTGGGATGCCAATGCAGATCATTCCTATAGTGCTACTAGTAACGGCTATCAATCATGGGGAGCCCAAGCCACCGAAGATGACTCTCGGGGTACCAATACCAAGACAACCGGCAACAATTTCTGGCCAAGCCCTACAGATACCGAAACTGTCCTTCCAGACATAGGCGGCTACAGTGGTGGCGCTGGTGTCAAATGTAATCCCTTAGATTTCAGCGGAGGTGGTTATGCATCTACTCCTACACCCAAGTCCAAATCCGGTACGAGAGGGAATGGTAATACTGATGGTAATGGCAGTAACAAGAACAAGAAGGAAGCTGATGATGATGATAATGATGGCTGGGGTCCCATCCCTACATTTTCTTCTCTCAAACTTTGAGCTCTTCTCGGCATTTCTTCATCCGCTTACTTCCATTGTTACTTTAGCAATGGATCAAGCACTTTTCATTTCAAGATACTACAGCACAAGCAATTGTTCGGCGAATTGGGAATCGGTTAACGGCGCACGACTATCACTCATCCTATGCTACTTATGCATACACATGTTTACAAAAGATATACAAACAACAGATGTTTGGATGTAATTGTTCACTATCAATCAATCACTCACATTCTTTCGATTTCTTCTCTCGAGTTTTCTCTCATTTTTTCTCTTTGCTTTAATTTTTTTCCTTTTCTTCTTCTTTGGTTTAGTTTTCATTGGCTTAGGTTCTAGTTTGAATGGAGATAGGAAGACCGGCTTTGAAGGAGTTACATCTGTGGTCGAATTTGATTTGCATTCATCGTTTTCTCTCTCTCACTCAAATTGAATGGATACATACAATACAATCAAGACACGGGAACACACTACCAGTACCAACACTACAGACTACAGATTACAGATTATAAGAACCCGTCGTTCATCACATCCAGAATTCCACGAGAGATCTCGATCGGGGATATGATGGGATGCGTTGGGAGATACTTTATGGGAATACTTGCTTACTTCGTTACTTTGACTTACACTCTTGCGCTCTTCCGGGGTGGAGATACGCTTATGGGATATGCTTATGGGATACACTTATGGGATACTGACTATGACTATGGATATGGATACACAGACTTGGGGATTTCTACAATGCGTGCATGCAGTACTGCTGGCTGTTATGACTTAGGTTATTTTAGTAATTGCTACGATTTGCTTAGAAAGGAACTTTGCGGTATGAGATAAAAACAGAAAAATAGAAAAGATAAATAAATAAAAAAACACTAATAAAAAAAATTAAAATGATGTGCTTTCAGTATAGTATCTATGTTTGCTTTATATCATGTGAGTGAGCTATATTTGGAAGAAGTACGAGGAGCCTTGAGAAATGTTAGATAGGGCACACAACACTGACTGAACACACCCATACTTTTAACAACGATTCTGGAGGACATTGACATGTAAGTTTGGTACTATACATGCAAGTGATGCCTGTAAATAAAGTAACCCACTTTGACACATATATCACAGCAACATTCTAGCAATTGCCAACATGAAGATACTTCTTACATTCCATTCCACAGAAAAGGCAAATCGCCTCTTCTTTAGATCTAGATTTACATACCACCATCAATCTCCTTCCCTTCGATGCTCCAAGACCTGTACAGAATATCTTTTACAAGACCCACAGATAGAGAGAAACTCTACAAGTGAATTCCAATCGATATGCATATTTAGAAATCGTTGATAATGGTGTTAGCACCTAGCAAATCCGTCCGCGAAATCTTCAACATCGATATCCATTCCCAGCCAGCCTAACCACACATTTTCCATGTTTATCACATCTTCAATATTTTCTGATATATTGAAAAGTTCTGATAAGATATCGGAAGTGGCCCTGGTATCTTCTGGCTCTGGTGGGTACTCGATAGTGCTATTGGGTGAGGATGTCATTGCATTGATGGAATCTTCAATGTCTGTATCGATATCAGTATCCGTTCCTAGCCACCCAAACCATTCATTCTCCATTTTTATGATTTCTTCGACTTCTTCTGACAGGAAAAAAAGCTGTGACAGCACTTCGGGAATGGATCTGGGCCAGATGTCTTTTGATGTATCCTCAACCATGGCGCCAGATCTTAGTGGAGTCTCCTGCATTACTTCTCCAATTTTTGCGCCGTGCCACCTCGCATCATCTGATATGTCTATAATATTTTGAGGTATTGAAACCGTTTTTGTAATGTCCCCTTTGTCTCTATATTCAATAACAGTATCGATTTCCATGTCCAAGTTCTCTGGTAGAAATCCATCATCTTTCAGGGCTGGAAGAAGTTCCCCGTCTCCCGCCCCTTCCGTAGCGCGATGTCCTTGCTCACGCTCAAGTTGTGACACTTCTCGGCTTCCATTACCAATTACAGAAGAATTATCCTGCCACGGCTTTTGAGGAGTAGATTGTGTCTGTAATGATGAACCTTGATCTGGAAGTACAGCTCGTTTTTTCACTATCTCCAAACTTCTCTTCTCCAAGACAGCGCAAATCTTGGCAGGCACACTCCCCAACTTAGTACTCTTTATTGATAATCTGATCTGTTCCGGTACCAAAATCTCTTGCTCCTGTTCTCCTTTCTTCTTTTCCACCAACTCAATGTTATCTAGTGCTGATAATCTTTGTCTTCGTTCCTTTTCCCTCTGTAATAACACTCTGATTTCAGCTGGTATTGAAGTGCTCGGTTCTCGCGCTCTCTCCACTGCAGTATTTTTCTCCTGCTGAAGCGGGGTTGCAACACCGCTTTCATAACTTCTACAAATAATCGTGGGATTGTTTTGCGTACGATGAGCAGGGGAAGCTACCATTCCATATGATTTCTGTCGATCCAATGCACTTTGTTGTGTCTGTGCTCTTATCTTATCCCTCTGCTCTCGCAGCCTGACTCGATATGTTATTGGGCTCTTGGTGATGTGCTGACTTAAATCCTTCTCCTGCGGGCTGGCTCCAAACCCAGTATTCTCGATTTCCATAGTCTCGAGAATTTTCTGCCCATTTTTCTTTTCCTGGATGTTATGAGGGTTGAAGATATCAGCTTCGGGGTTACCATCTGGGAGATTTCGAATAAAGTTCTCTTTCACATTTTGCCGAGAAGGGGACATAGGAAGAAGACCCTGTGCTTGCAGCAAAGTTTTGCGTGCCATTATTCTCTCACGTAGATTAGCTATTTCTTCCAGACGCTCTCGCTGCAGAGTAAACGCCCCAGGATTGGTTCGTTCCATAGTCATTTCCCTGCTCCCTTCCTGCTCTCTTACTTCCTGTTGGTTGTTATTTGACTCGCGACGAAGAGCTGCGCCATCACGCTGCGAAACAGTTCGATCGGTTTGCTCCTGCAAAGGCTGCGGAGGAAGAGGAACTGGAAGTAATCCATAGATTTGCAGCGACGCTTGAAGTTCTGCTGCCTTCTTCCTTCGTTTACTTCGATTTGATTTCTTTCGTCTTGTACGCGAGACATTTTCTGAAACGAGATTCTCTTCATGTATGTCCACATTCGTATCCCAATAAACATCGCCATATATATCCCCGTACTTATCTCCGTACATACCATTGTGAATAGCCTGCTCCCTTTCTTCTTCTGTCCAACCACTTGTCTCAGAAGCCACAGATTCTTGCCGATTATTATAAATTGAGTCCTGGGTCAACGGCGAAGGTACAAGAGGTAATTCTGCTTGAAAATTTCGTGTACATGCCGCTCCTTCCACGCTTCTCACACACTGCTTCCGCGCTGTTTCCCTCTTCATACTCTCCTCCCATATTTCTATTTTTGCAAGACGATCTGCTTTATCCTTGGCTTCAAATGTAGCTAGCTTGAATGCTTTGAAGTTGGGAATTTGTGGTCGCCCTTCAATCAACTCTCCTTCCTCCAATTCTTCCTCTCCCATTCCATAACATTCCGATCCTTTATGGAAGCTCAGATCCTAAGCAATATGTATTGAGTAACAACAATTTTGTGTATTTCACGTTAGCAACACTTACAATGATATTATGGATATCCTCCATTTCGGTATCCATATTGTGAGATGTCAATGTTGAGTACAGAATTTTGGTGAGAAGCAAACAAATAGAACGCGATTTGGTATTTTGCGTGGGTTTCGATTAATGCATGAGAATGAATGAGGATGAATGGAAAATAAGGTTGTGTAACTAAGAGGTAGGCGCTTCCTTCCTTCCTTCCTTTCTTCTGTGTTTGAACACAAACAACTTCTACGCAACGAAATACCACACTGGAACAATTCCTAAGCGTTATGAACTATCTAACGCTCCGATTTAGGAGTTCAGATTCAAACGTTAAGTGGTCTCTCAAGGTTTGGGAATCTTTTTACAAATCATAAAGCACCTGGGCAATAAAATCGACACTTGATCATTTGCTCATATGTTCCATAATTCAGCCCAAAACTACCTCGAATCACTCATTCACACACATGTAGTTGTCAGATGTGATTTTTCCACAAGTCGTGGGGTATGTATACATGCTAAAAGGTACCTCAGAGATAAACGCAACAAGTGTTTTGCAACGATACCCAAAAAGTTGATGCTCATATCTATTAGAGATACGTTTTTATACATCAAACCTCTATGCTTGATACAAGTGCGGTAGTGTAGCTGCACAACAAGCACACTTTGTTAAGATACACCAAAGTTGGTTGTGCTTTGAATGTTTAGTGGATGCATGATTGTTCTCCCCGATGAGTGTTCTTTTGCTCTGAATGCTGGAGGAACACATACTTCTGTACCTGTTCACTTCAGCTCGATGTCTTTTGATTACCTACCTTCATGCACTTTGGCGAGACAGACGGTTCAAATGAATTTTTCAACTAGCATTGAATATTCATAATCCAGCCTGAAAGTAATAAATGCTACCATCTTCCTTACCAAGATGAAAATGCTGTCCGTACCCAACCATCTTACATGCCAAAATATCTTGGCAAATACCAGACAGCTGGTTTTCCACTGGTATCCCAGTACTGATATTTCACTGGAAACACCAATTGAGATGTTGACGTGATATCTCGTAAGAGCGAACGCTTCTTGAATACCTTGATTTAAGCTTTCTCTTCGATACACCCGTTTCTCTGTCCACTCACCATATCCGAATATGGGAATTTCGACGAACAAATAATAGCCAGTCCAACAACACATAACGTCAACCCTGGAACAGCTCTGTGATCACGTGAGTAGGCATAATTGCTCAAGCTCCAAGACCTCGTATTCGCCACTGATGCAGAACTAGTCGTTCTTCCGAAACATTGATGGACATTCGTAGATATTGTAAATGCAAGACACAGTGTGGAGGATGTGTTAAAGTAGTGTGTATGACTATGAGAAGGACCCCTCAAAGATCTGTGTTGAACTTTTTGATGATGCAATTATTGCGGAGTTTGATGGATCTATGTTTGAGAAAGACGAGACTCCGCAAGAACAATTTTGGGTTTGGGTGAGTCTAGTCGGTGATTTTCAAGAATGTTGTTGTCAAATTTCTTGGAGCAACGAAGCATATTCAATAAATAATCAAGCCTCTTTGTGATACGCCGGACTACCGCTATGGCTTTAGTTGTTGCTAGACAGGAACGAAAGCAACCTTAATAATGAATCATGATAGATAGCTAAAAATTACCGCATGGAACCTTTTGGAAAGCGCTCAAACTTTATATCAAATCTTATTTCCATCTCGAACCTCTGCGCAACATACGATAGGTAAGCTGTGGAATTTCACCGTAACCGTTTTGGTATATCTACGATGGCACCAATCAGAAGCAGAAGGTTTGAGTCTGGGCCGCGAGGTTAATAATTAGTTGAAACTTCTGTAATATTTTAGACTTTGGAAGGTTTTTGGTTCCGAGTATCGAATCATTATTGAGGGCCTCGAGAGTGCATCTACCGGTATCTACGGAATATAATAAGGAGGACACCCCTTTCGATCTAGGCGACTTGTCAATGAATGGAGACGAGACGAGACGAGAATCGAGATAGAAGTCCGAATTGATTGCTAAGAATTTACCAAGAGTTGACGTTATTTTTGGATATGGATATGGATATGGATATGGATATGGACATGGAAAGGTATTTATGAATTACTCCTTTTTCGGAGCTGGATTTCCTTGGGAGACGGAAAAAAGACGACAAAACGCCACGATCTTACATTTTCCTACAACCTTATTAACTACAACAAATTTCCTTGGGAATGTGGAGGAATGCGATATATCAGAAAATGATGGGCTAATTGGATGGGAGAGTTGGTCGTTATGTCAATCTTTTTGAATGTCTCCTCATGTATCGTATAGAAGTGGAATATGTAATTATGTATGGACTTGGATTGGAGTCTTGGAGTCTTGGTAAGCTCTTTTGTTATTGTGTGGAGTGAAGTCGGAAGTGAAGGGGAATAATCAAGTGAAGGGTAAAAGTAGGTGAAGGTAAAGTAGAGTGAAGGTAAAGTAGAGTGAAGGTAACGAAAAGTGAAGACTGTGAAGTGAAGTGAAGTGAGGTAAAGTGAGGTAAAGAAAAGAAGTAAAGTGAAGAAAAGAAGGAACAGAATCTCAATTGATGATTGGTTCAATTGGATCATTAGCCCCCTGAACCAATTTTTCCCCGTATTTTTCCAATTTCACTAACTATCGACCTCATGCATATAACCATGTCGAAAGAACTCAATTAAAGTACGCTAAGCCAATACGGGTATGTCACGGCAGAACAAGAGCTTAGCGTGGAAAAGTCGAGGAAAATGAAATGAGCAATAAGCATTATTATCCTTGATGATCCTTGTTTATCTCTCGATTCCCCTGTTGATCATCAAATAAACATGACCCTGCCCCGCCTGTCTGCCTACTGTAGTACCCGTTAGCAGTTTGGAGGAATAATAATAATAATAATAATTATAATCAATTATTTACCCAGACTTTCCATGACAATAAGAAGAGCATTCAACCCATCTTCCATCCAATTTCCGTTCCTTCCCAATTTCATCTTCATCTTCATCTTTCGTCTTCATTCTTACTTGAAACAAAAAGACCATCATTCCCTCTCATTATATATATATTCCTTCTTGGATATTCACTGTCGTTCATCTACAACAACAACAACACCAACAACAACCCAACTTCATCAAATTATCATATAATCTTATTCTTCGGTAAATCCGTAAGTTCATTCACTCGCAAAGTAAGTAATACACATCTACCTACCCCCATCACTCACTCTTCCATCTACACTTTCGAATTCGACCTTGTTATATATCTAGTCAATCCTTATAACCAACAAACTAACCGGTTTCTTCTCTACGTATAGTCTTTTACAGTCAATCAATCGTCTTTAAGAATACCTCAATAATCAAAATGCAATTCAGTACTCTCTTCCTCGCCGCTGCTGCAGCAACTCTTGCCAGCGCTGTCCAATTGACTAACTCCGACTTCGCCGTCACCGCTGGAACTCCGTTCAACATCACCTGGTCAGATGCCGAAGGACCTGTCACCCTTCTCCTCAAGAGTGGCCCATCCACTGACCTCACCACTGTCTCCACCATCGGCAGTGGATTGACCGGAACATCTTACTCCTGGACTCCATCATCCGGTCTTGACTCCAGTCTCTATGCTATTGAGATCCAAGATTCCACCAGCACACCAAACTACAGTCAACAATTCCAAGTTTCAGGTGCTACTGCCGCTGCTTCAACTGTGACTGCTTCTTCTACAAGTGCTTCTTCCGCTTCAGGATCTTCCACTTCTGGCACTTCCACCGGATCTTCCACTGGTTCCTCCACTGGATCTTCCACCAGCTCTTCAACTGCCTCTTCTACTGGCTCTTCTTCTTCAAACGGTACCTCAACTTCTGCTTCTTCTTCCCCTACTGCTAGCGGCAACAGCAGCACCACTCTCAGCGGTTCCAGCTCTGCCTCAAGAACCAGTATGTTTTTCATTGAATTGACTTGAACAAATGAATTGTAACTAACAAATCATAGGTGCATCCTCATCCAGAACTGCTTCATCCAGCTCCACTCGTGGCACTTCCACAGCAACCTCTGCCCCAACCTCAGCAGCTGCTGAGTTTGCTTCCCCACTCGCATTCATCTTCCTTGCATTTGCAGCCATCGTCACCCTTAACTAAGAAGACAATTTTTAAGTTATGGATGCATGATTTTCCACTTCGTACCCGATTACTTTCGATTTCAATTCAAATTGTCGAAAGTTTTATTTTAATTCCTATAATGTACTTTACGCATAAACGATGATGGTTTGGAGGTTTAATTTTTGGGAATGATTTCATGGTGGAGAAGGGAAGATAGCATGAATGAATGGGTATGGTCATGAGGATTCTTGATTGCTACTTTTACATTGAGAATACATCATGTATGATTGGTTCGAAAAGGCAAAGCGTTTACAAGGCGTTTATTTTCGTCTTTCTTCTACAGTTGCGGATTATTGAGATAGAGGAGTAGAGTTTACACAGCGGTTAGAGAGATTGAATTGTGATTCGAGACTACGGGTTTCGAAGCCGATAGATTAATGGAATAGAAATATTCAGCCATTCAACCATATCTTCACTGGATTGACAATAATCATGAGATCTGACATTATGTTTGCACCGAATTACGATACTAGAGTGCGTAGGCGTTTGAGCCTCCCAAAAGTAAGCTTACACAATAGTTTCACTGCAGGCTCGTCAGTCAGTGGTTATCCAAGGATTGAGATTGGTGTTGAGATCTCCCTCGTGCTCATGTGATGTGATGCGATGCGATGCGATGCGATGCGATGTGATGCGATGTGATGTAATGTAATGCAATGCAATGCAATGCAATGCAATGCACTATGTGTGAATACTAATGGGTGATTGGGTTATGGATTGATGGATGCTTATGTTTGCAGATGCAGATGCAGATACAGATACAGATGTAGATGTAGATGCATGGTGTAGAGTTTGGGGATTATTCTGATTTGTGGGGTTGTGTGATTGTGTGTTTGTATGATTTTGGGTGTGAGGTGTGAGGTGTGTGTAGATGGAGATGTAGAAGGCGGACTGGAGTAGAGTGATATATATATAAAATAGGTGTTGAGGTGTTGAGGGGTTGAGGGGTTGAGGGGTTGAATACCTAGGTAGTGTGGTATTGATGGGGTTGGAATTGTGGATGGAATTGGAATTGGAATTGGAATTGGATATGGATATGGATTTGGATTTGGATTTGGATTTGGATTTGGATTTGGATTTGGATTTGGATTTGGATTTGGATTTGGATTTGGATTTGGATTTGGATTTGGATTTGGATTTGGATTTGGATTTGGATTTGGATTTGGATTTGGATGTGTATATAGATAGGTAGGTATGCAATATCAGGCTGTGTTACGGATTGTATTGAATTGGATTGAAGTGGATTGAAGTGAAGTGGATTGGACAGAATTGGATATCTGTAGATAGGTAGGTAGATAGGTAGGTTGGCATTGATTTGTGTATGGATGGATGGATGGATGGATAAGTAAGATTATTTTAGGTAGGTAGGTAGTTTGTGAGTGAGTGTTCTAGAATATAGAATCTGGAGTCTGGAATCTAGAATCTACAATCTACAATCTAGAATTTGTAGGAATATTGAAATGAGAGGAAGCGCCCATTCAGAGGTTTCCTCGTTTCTTTCGCTACGCTCGTCGGAATTTGCGACGATGAGATGAAGAATGGGAAGCGCTTGGGTTAGGTGAATAGATGGCTAGATGAATAGATGGGTAAATAGATGGATGAATAGATGGATGAATAGATGGATGAATAGATAGATGAATAGATGGATGAATATATGGATGAATAGATGGATGAATAGATGGATGAATAGATGGATGAATAAATGGATGAATAGATGGATGAATGGTTTGAAGATACTGAGATAATCTTAGAGAGGTAGCTACCCACCTACTAGATAGGTATGATAAGATGGTAGATATTGTAGATGAGTAAACAAACAAACAAACAAATAAACAATCCCCCGACTTTGTGTTTTGTATTTGCATTCCAGGAGTTCGAATTGCTGAGTATGGATGGATGGACTGGACTGGACTGGTAGTTGAATTTTTGAGGATGGAAAGATGGGAAAGATGTGAAAGGTAGGTAGATATCGATAGATGGGATGGGGAATCTTTAATGCTTGGTGGAAGATATTTGCTATGATTAATGACTTTGTTGGAATGTGTCTATCTTATATAAACGAATGAATAAATGAATGAATAAATAAACTAATATATGAGTAAACAAATAAACAAGCAAATATCAAATTTCAAATATTAAATTCCGGGGTTCGAGGTTCGAGGTGGTTTGAAAATAAGTAGGTAATATAATATAATTCGATATATATAATATTTATATACTAACAAATTAAGAAATCTCAATTTTTTTTGAGGAAAAGCAAATAAGTAAATAAAACTTTGTTAGTATTTAGAATTTGATAATTAGATAGCTATTTATCGAGAATAAGAATTAAAAAAAACATATAAAGAAATAAAGAAATAAAGAAATAAAGAAATAAAGAAATAAAGAAATAAAGAAATAAAGAAATAAAGAAATAAAGAGATAAAGAAATAAAGAAATAAAGAAATAAAGAAATAAAGAAAGAAAGAAAGAAAGAAAGAAAGAAAGAAAGAAAGAAAGAAAGAAAGAAAGAAAAAAAGAAAGAAAGAAAGAAAGAAATAAAGAAAGAAATAAAGAGATAAAGAAATAAAGAAATAAAGAAATAAAGAAATAAATAAATAAATAAATAAATAAATAAATAAATAAATAGATAAATAAATAAATAAATAAATAAATAAATAAAGAATAAACAAAAGACTTGAAATTCGTAACTCGAGTACTTCAATGCTATATTATTATAATACTACAATCATAAATACTCTAACCTTATTGAGCCTTGCTAAGATTGAGAATCCGATTACTACTAGGTAACCTTATATCGTATGAAAACCCGAATCTTTAAATCAGTACGAGTACTCTATACGATAATATCAGCTGGTTTAATAAGATTAACACGATTCTAAATCGAAATCTAAATCTACTAAATTCTGAATCTCATTCGTATTCACATCGCTAATCAACCATCTGCACTGAACTAACAAATCTAGATATCCATCTCTCTCCCTCTCTAATATCTACTACACATAATATACAATACAATCTCGCATACCATCCATCTCCTCCTATCTACACTTATCGATTCTTCATTACATACTCAACTCTCCATATCCCTTCTCATCTATACCTAAATACCTATATATACTTCCATATTAATCCATCTTCACACAATATAATACATACCCAACTTCCTATAAGCAAGCCGCCACCCACACAATACCCTATAGATATAATCTTACATACCTACATACCTACCTCCCGATCCAGAAAATAACAACCTACCAGTAGGTACCTAGGTATATAGACCTGATTTTCGAACCCCCAACTCCAAGCTCTTGCCCCCGCACCCGCAGCCGCACCTGCTACTAGAATTGAGATGAAAATCAAAATCAAAATCACAAGTCGAATTAAATAGACCAGGTGAGTGAGTAAGTGAGTGTGAACTACATCCTGAGTATCTCCTCTCTCCTCTCCCTATCCATGATGATTTAAACTTCTACAAGATAAGTGAATATCTAGATACTCTATTAAAGTTTTCCACTTATGATTCATTATTCATTAACCCTTTATTCACAATCCATCAATCATCTCAACTCTCATTTCCCATTTCCCATTTCCCATTTCCCATATCCCCGCTTATCCACCTAGACAATACACAAGTCAAGGTTCCAAATTTCAATTATACAAAAAATCACAAGAAGAGTTACTCCCTACAGAATATCCTATGCTTTCATATAACATCCTCATATAATATATAGATATATATAACATACAATAAATAAATATATCGTTGCTAAATAGACTTACTGGTGTTTGTTTTGGATACCTAGGTATTAGTCTGACTTTGAGTTGTTGGTGGTATATACCTACCTACCTATCTAGAAAGTTGTAACCCGTAAGAAATAGGGGGATTACTCGGTAAACAGATAGTTTTTCTGCTAACAATCAATACGATATAGGGCTGCACTTGTGGATAGCGTCAACAACTAACACTCTAGTACAACTAGAGAGAAAGCTAAAGGGAAAGCTGAATGTACCAAGAAGCTAGCCAATTCATAGTTTACCTCATCATTCATTTATTTAATATGTTGTGGTATTTTCTCGAATAATCTAAACTATATTTTTTTCTACTACAGTGTACTGAGTTCGCCCATGGTACATATCATTCATATTCCCGTTCATATTAGCAACCGGCAAATTCAGCCCAATCTGACTCTGTCTTCCCGCGATCCCACTAATATTCATTCCACCCAATATCATTCATTCATCCTCCCTCCCATACATCCATCGATCATGGTATCAAATTATCCGCCCCACTCTCTTAAAGCACCTGAATAGATTCTTGACCACATCTAAACCTCACACCAGAAGAAAAATTAGCTTGTATGGAAACAAGCAAAGAAGTAAAGCAATTCAGCCCAGGAAGCAAGCAAATAGTAAGAAGAGAAAAGAAAAGAAAAGCTAAGCTAAAGCAGATAGAAAACTCTCGTGTGGGATGTGTAAGTAAAAGATGATAGTACAAAAGAAAAAAATAGCTCTCGTGTTCATAAGAGTACAAAAGGTTGTGTTAGAAAAATATCCCGTCGAGGTGTCCCTAAGGAAGCGTTGTTGTGGAGTTGAATTGCAAAAAACCAATGGAGATCAGATGTCTACAGATTGCGTCCTTTGACGTTTTAACTCCTTGGCCAGTTTTTGCTCCTCAATCATCTTTTTGGTGCGCTCCTCAATAAAGGCAGTTTCGAGCATGTTACATACTCTGTCGACCTTTGCAATATGATCTTCTTCTTTGTACAGGAAGAATTTCGACTCGTGGCGATTATATTTACCCATACCCCAGAAACAGTCGAATTTGAGTTTCAAGAACATGTTCTTTGTCGTACTAATCGTGATGATGTCACCATTACGAATTTCTCCCCAAAACTTCGAGTCGCCCAAGGTCTCACTGATATTATGACTTGGAAGTTTTTGACCATTGATCTTGAGACCTGCCGAGGACTTGGTAGAGATCAAGAATCTGAAGCCTTGTTCTTCTTCTTCACTATGGCTCTTATTCCATACTTCCGTATACTTTTCACCGGAGTGATAGAAGTCATTTTTGAATAGTATCAGCTTGAATGCGTATCTAGGAACACCTATTCGGACATCTTCACGAGTTGCATATCGGATAGTGTTGGAAAAGCCGCGGCCCCAAGATGTGAATGCTTCCGTAATATTGAAAGCAATGGTTGGTAAACAAGAATCTGGAGTTGCAGAAAACTTTGCAAGCACGCGCTTAGGGACCTGAAAATCGTCTGCTGCAGATGCATCGATGTTTGGAATGATAGCTGATGTACCTTCCGTCGCGGCTTCAATAGAAGAAATGATTTCTTCATCATTTGTCGCGCCTATCTTGACTGGTGAAGAAGGTTCTGAGTTCTGAGCTACTTCAGGCGCAAGGGCATCGGTGTTGACGGACAAATTTTCCTTGGAAGCTATGCTCTGTTGAACAGAAGCGTCGTCGCTGAGCCTTCGTTCATCGCGCGCCAATGGTAAATGTCGTTTTGTTCCTTCAATTAAAGGTTCGGATTGAGCGCGAAACGATACATTCGAGCCAATCGAAGGAGTTTTGCTATTGCTTCTG